GCGGTGCCACTATGTGCTGTCGGCTGAGCCCGACGACGCCGCTTGGCAGGAGATGGTGAAGATAAGGAGGATGGAGACGGTGACGGTGAGGATGCTGATAACGGAGTAGGTACAGATACTGAGGACGTGGGTTTATGTGTAGGCGTCAGAGTAAGGGTAGAGGCTGGCGTGGGTGTCGAAGTTGGCCTAGATGAATGAATAGGCACAGAGGGAGCTTGATTTTGGAGGAATATATTTTGAACCATCTGGGGGGACTCAGAAATAGCAACAAAAGGGAGGTGCGCAAGAGACGAAAATACGGCTTTTTCCCCTCCCATAGCCTTGGTAGTGCCCCCAGACGTGGTCGCCAGGCCGGTAAATGGGACTAATCTGGCTTCATCCGATGAACAAGCTGATGAGATAATGGTTGCGATATCATTAGAATTTGTTGCCATGTGGAGTCCTTCATCAAACGTCGAGGAGCATGTTGGACGAACTGCAAATAAATGAGTGTATCCGTCAGATGCATCATTAACATCTGTAGGCAAGCGTCTAGACGCAGATTTTCGGTCCACGTGGCCTGTAACAATTTCGGTTTTCATTACAAGTGGTTGAGGGAACTCATAGCAGTCGCTGGTAGACTGTTCGACCATCAAAGATCGCTCACTTGGAGTCCATTCATGTCCACTGAGTCGGCCAAGACTCCCTACCACCTTGATAGTCCCCACATCTTCTAGTTTGACGTCGTCACTCCCACAAGTAGAAGGAATACTGATAGCATTAGTGAATCTATTGTCATCACTAGTAATATTGTTGACTAAAAGCCCGCGAAGACAGCTTCTATCAGAACTAATATCCTTAGAAGTTACAGTCTCGCCAACCTGAATCATGACACTTGAAGAACATGGCATATCCTCGGATGGAGTCACAAGTGAAGGTGAATCTTCATATGCTGCAAGATCAAGGCAGTTCAAATTGAGCAACTTGCTAGTTGTCTCTGTAGCTGGCAGAATAGAAGAAACTGTAGGATCCCTCTCCGTTAGTTGAGTCTTATGGCAGGCAGTTTGAATGTCAGTAGAGTTTTCATTGTTTTTTGGTAGGCTCTGCATGGTAGAGAGCGGAACTTCAATCGGGGAGTAAACAATGCAGTTCATAAGTGAAGTGCTTGCATGGAAAGCGGAAGGTGAAGAGCTAGAGGCTTCGTTATTCTGTTGTAAGCCTTGTTTGCATGATTCATCAAGCCACAGAAGGCGAGGAGAAGAGAGGGACCGAGAAGCTGAAGAGAAAACAGGAAGACTAGTGCTGGACAAGGGTCTGTCCAAGGGTTCATGAGTCCAAGAGGTGACGAGCTCTCCGAGCATAGCTGGGACAGTCGCCTCCATTTTTTCCAAAGAACCGTCCTTTAACCTACTCTTGTTCCCAAAAGCTTCATCATTAATATTCTCAGTGTCTGTGGATGTGTTCATGTAGCTTTCACCATCTGAACCATTTGAACTATTGCTACTGCAAAAACATTTTTTGTTGAA